AATATCTCCGATCTCTTAGACCAGCTTGGAAAATGCCAATATTTCACAACTCTCGATCTTGCCTCCGGATTTCATCAGATTGAAATCGATCCCAAAGATATTCCTAAAACAGCCTTCTCTGTCGAAAACGGACATTATGAATTTACTCGTATGCCTTTTGGACTTAAAAATGCACCGTCCACATTCCAGCGTGTCATGGACAATATTCTTTTAGGTATTTTGAACGAACGATGTCTTGTCTATATGGACGACATTATAGTATACTCCCCTACCATTCACGAACACATTTCCCGTCTTACTGAAGTCTTCAAACGTCTTCGAAAGGCAAATCTTAAAATCCAGCCTGATAAATGTGAATTTCTCAGGAAAGAGGTGGCGTATCTCGGACATCTCATTACCCAAGATGGCGTCAAGCCTAACCCTTCTAAAGTCGATTGTATCCAACGATTTCCTGAACCGAAAACACCAAAAGAAATAAAATCTTTCCTAGGTCTAGCCGGTTACTATCGTCGTTTTATTCTCAATTTTGCTAAACTTTCTAAACCTCTCACTAGACTACTACAAAAAGACGTTGCTTTTAATTTTGACCCAGATTGCAAGCAAGCTTTTGAAGACTTAAAAAACGCTTTAATTTCTGACCCAATTCTAACCTATCCAAATTTTGAGGAACCATTCGTCCTCACAACAGATGCAAGTGCATTCGCCATCGGCGCTATATTATCCCAAGGCCCCATTGGAAAAGATCTTCCTATAGCATATGCTTCACGTACCCTGTGTAATGCTGAAACACGATATTCGACCATTGAGCGAGAGCTCCTTGCCATCGTATGGGCTGTCAAACATTTCCGACCCTATCTGTTCGGTAGAAAATTCACCCTAGTAACTGATCACCGTCCACTCACCTGGTTATTTTCTATAAAAGACCCTGGAAGCAGACTAGCTAGATGGCGTCTCAAGCTTGAGGAATACAATTATAAAATTATTCATAAACCGGGAAAAACGAACAAAAATGCGGACGCCCTTTCTCGAATTAAAATCAATCATTTTAAAGAATGTGCGAATTTTCATAAGAAAATATCAATATTAGCTTCAAACGATACGGAATCTGACGAAGAACCAAATGAAATCAATGAAGAAGAAATCACTGAACATTTTAATAGATTTGTCGAACTGTATAAAACTAAATCACTCATTGATTATTCTAAAATTGAAATATCTAATGATCAATTATTAGACAAATCGCATAAGAACATCATCACCTTTCTTAGACAAAATAAAATGGAAGAAATACATCACAAAATATTAGACGACGTCTTCGATGAAAACAATATAGATTTTAACTTATCAAAGATTAATATATTCGGTAGTAAAACTGTCAAAAATCGGAAATATTTTATCATTCCCCTTCCTTTTGATCCTGAAACAGTAGTACAACACCTATTCTATATCGTTTATGTCGCACAAAATGAATTTGACCTATCGCAAATCCATTACGTCGAAAATCAACTCGAATTACCAATTCTAGAAATATTTTCATTTATCTTTGCCGATAAAGAAATAAAACTGAGAATCTGTCAAGATGTTATTAAAACTCCGGAACAGGATGAAATACCCCAAATACTAGATCACTATCACTGTGGCAAAAACAATCTCCATCGGGGTATAAATGAAACTATACGAAGAATAAAAGAAAAGTATAATTGGCAAGGCATCACAAAGGATGTAGAAAATTTTATAAAAAATTGCGAAATCTGTCAAAAAGTAAAGATATGTAGAAAAAACTTAAGTAACCCGTTAGTCATCACCGAAACCCCTAAAACACCGTTCGAAAGAATTAACATAGATCTTTTCGAATACCCTACCAGAAATTACGCATTAACTATCCGAGACGAGCTCACTAAATTCACACAGGCGTATCCTCTTGAAGACAAAACAGCTAAATCAGTCGTCAATCATCTTATTATCTTTTTCCAACACTATGGCACACCATTACGCATACACTGTGACTATGGACGTGAATTCGACAATGCTTTGATGAAAGATCTTTGTGAATTGTACGACATAAAACTAACCTTCTCAAGTGTGGGCCATCCACAATCTAACGGTTCTATCGAAAGATTTCACGCAACCCTAAGCGAAATGATAAGAGCTAATCAAGCTGAAAATCCCGATGAACATCCATTCAATGTTCTGCCTTATGCAGTTATTTGCTACAATAATACAAAAAACAAAACCCACGGATTTACACCATACGAACTCATTTTCGGACATACTTCTTTTAGACCACCCGAAATACTTTACAATGAAAAAATCCTTATATCAAAATACGTTAGAGACTTAAGTAATCGTATGCAATATTTCTATAAAGTGGCACGAGCCAAGACGGAAAGACAAAAAGAAAAGGCTAAAGAAAGATTCGATCAACACGTGTCATCAAACCCTCCAGAATATAAAATAGGCGATAAGGTTTACGTCAAGGAATCGCAAATTAAAGATAAATCCCAAAATAAATTTAATGGCCCTTTTGAAATCCAAGAAATTCACGTAAATTCTGCTACTTTATTAAATACCCAAACCAATAGAACAATGAAAGTAAATTTTGATAGATTAAAACCCTATCATGAGTAATTTTCTTTCAGATTCCTCGGACTGATCCCAGTCATCCTCTCCCAGTATACGTTAACTCCAATCAACAACACTGTTGGAATCTTTTTTCATGAAGAAACCAATCTCAAAATTTCGAACGACAAATGGACCCTCCTTGTATATAAAGACATGCAACCAATCAGAGACGTTATCGACAAAAATGACAAAATTTTAGAAAATTTATTGGATACCATTGAAGAAGATGTACCTCGAATGCTAGCATTTAAATCCGAAGTCCAAACTCACATAAGTCTTCTCAAACAAATCTCTAGTTCTGTTAATCTCAAATATACAGAAATAATGGCTGATACGAAACAATACACATTCCGAGAGAAACGCGGACTTATTAACGGAATAGGTTCGATATGGAAATCAATTACCGGCAACTTAGATTCGTCAGATGGCGAATATTTCAATGATTGTATAAACAAAATAACCCGCGATGAATATCAAATCGAAAACTTATTGAAAAATCAAATATCGGTTACAACTTCTGTTATTAAAAACTTTAACGCCACAATCCAGAAATTACAAATAGACGAGGAAACATTCAATAATAATATTAAAGAAATTCGAGAGTCAATAATGGATATCTCTGACCAATTAAAATTCTATCAATCTCAAATCGATATGCTAAACTTTTGTGAATTACTAATGGAAAGCTATTCATTTATCGAAGACTCTTTAAATGAAATAGTAAATGCCATAACCTTTGCTCGATTAAAAATATTACATAGCTCAATCATAACCCCGTTTGATTTAATTGAATCGCTAAGGCATATATCACAATCATTACAAAAAAATAATCTTCCATTATCAATCTATACTTCAAATTTAGCTCAATATCTCGATATTATCGAATTGCAAGCCTATCAATTAGACACAAGAATTGTGTTTGTCTTAAATATTCCTTTAACTGATGCAGAACAATATACTTTATATCGTATCTATCCAATACCAATACTGGATAATCGAACAGGTCTTCATTCAATATTAACAACAACAAATAAATACATTGCGCGAAATGATGATTCATTGTTATACCTTACAATAAATAGCCTTGAGTCATGCAAAACTTTGCGAGCTCGAACCAAGATCTGTTACAACACACTTCCATACCCAATCGACAGCGATGCCATATGCGAAGCCCAACTTCTGAAACGACAAGAACGCCTTCCCAGAACATGCCAGACTTCCGTAGTATTTGCCAAAGATTACAACGTCCAGAAGATCAACATAAACCTGTGGCTCATAACAGTTTCTGACCCACTGCCTATTACCATCAAATGCGAATCCAGAGACGTCAAATCAGAGATTATTTACACAAACCATGTACTCAAACTACAACCCACGTGCGATGCCTTTATTGGAAGTACAAGAGTACACTCTCAGAAATTAATCGACGTTCATGACAATGTTACATACAGAAGTCACCCAGTCCAAATTCCATTCAATTGCTGCAAACACTTCCCAGATAAAATCCATCTTCTCGACTTAAAACCACTGAAGCTTAGCAGAATCAATACTGAAGACCTCGAGATAGCCCATCACAAACTCAATCAGTATTCTGAAGAACTCGATAAACTAATCAATGCACCGTTTGTCAACAAACATCTAAGCTGGTTCACCATTTTTACCATAGTTGTCATTGTAACTCTTGTTGTTCTTTATGTTATATGTAAATGCAGATCCAAGAGAAGATACAGGATAGGAATTGGCAATACCAATGACAATGACCATCCGCCCTCTCCACCAAGACACCCAGAGACAGCCTTCACCCGGAATTGGAGAAAAATCCTTCCAAGACGAAGACCCAGTATCCACCTAAGCGACGCCATAGCCGAAGAAGAGCAGATCCAACTTAACACCAATAAACAGACAGTCTAAAAGTTGCTGCCACGCATCAACTTTCATCTAAAAGGGGGAGCTGTTATATGCATTGTACCAACCGATGTTCCTTATCACGACGATTCCCAGGGTATCAGGTTCCACTTCCAACAACCTGAGCCGATAAGGATCCTTGCAATTGCAGTACCAGCAGAGTCAGCGGGACCCAAGCTTTTTACACGTTCCCACTGAGTCAGCATTTAGTAATATTATAAAACCGCTTGTCGCTCTTAATTCAGTATTCAGTATATTTTTGTAGTTCATTCATTATATTTTATATTTCATTCATTTTTACCACGTAACTTGTATTTTGTAATAAATAAATTTTTTAAAAAGTCAAAAAAGTGTTTCGTGATATAAAATATATATATATATATATACATATATATATATATATATATATATATATATATAATATATATATATATATATATATATATATAGTCTCTATATTAAAAATGTGTTACCTTATTATTTAAACTACAATGAAGTTTATAATTCTTCTCTAATGCAGCTAATACAGCAGTCTGTCTAAAAACACTTCCTAAAGTTTTATTTTTTCTTGTAAAAGCTATCCTAGTCAGCCCATCCCATTCTGTATAATTAATTGGTGGAGGAGGATTTCTTGGTTCTATTCTCACTACACATGATTCCACTTTCGGAGGAGGCCTAAAGTTATTTTTGCCTACCTAAAAAAAAACATTACTTATGATTGCTAGCACAAATAGTAAAAAGCTAAAAACAGTTTTAGTTAGTATTGAGAATCTCATGTAAACATTGTGCACACTTAAAATGTATCACTAATAAATATTTTGATAAAGACTAGCAAAAAAGACACTCTTCCAAATAAATCCCAGTTATGGGAACAGTTTCTGGTAATTCATTGAATTTTAATTTTCACTATGTACTTAAATAAGTAATTATTCTTGCAAATATGAAGTATTTACAAGCAGAGATTAAGATTACATTAAATATGTGTTCAAATAAGAAAACCGAGTATTTAAATATCAATAAAATGTTCGAAAAAATTGGTGACAAATTAGCAAGAGCACTAGATTTGTCACATATTTAGTGATAATGATTTCAATTTAGCCTTTTACAAAAAAAAAAAGGAAAGAAAAGACCTTTTTCAATTTAAAAAAAAAAAGTATCCCATTCTGGAAGGATAATTATCCCATTATCCCTCCAGAAACTGACAGAGAATGTAGCGTAGAAGTAATTTTAAACTGTTTGTCCTCGTTTTAGTGTAGTGTTTTGTATAATTTATGTTAGTTTTAATGTTTCCACATCCTACGCTTGCCGGATAGTTCTTATTTTGACGAAATGCCCCTGAAGATGCTATTTTAAGCGAAAGTACTTGGGCTAGATTTAATTAACTTGTGCTCGATAATAGCCTTATTTTCAAAGTTCATTTATTCGAGCATTCAACCTCATTTCATTTAAATTTGTAGTACTCTGAGTTTAGGTAAGATTGCAGTTGAGTATCTTAAAAAATATCTTAGAGGAATAGTTTTGTTCTTTTCTATGGATTTTAAGAAGTTTTTTTAAAACATAATTTAGCTTTTTTTAGTCCCATATGTGGGTACAAAAATAAGTTTTCTCTCTATATATACCAGTTACTAATTAAATTGCTTACCTTCATCAACATATCAACCCTTGACAATAACTGTGTGTTTACTGATAACCTACAATACAACTTATCACCAGCTTTTGCAACTAATCTTTGAGCAAATTCTAATTGAAACATAAGAACAGCGCATCTAAAGAATGGTCTATGTAGAAGTAATCTAAACACTAATGGTGAAGATATCTGATATGGTACATTAGCTACACACACATCAAAAAATGGAAGGTCACTTTTCAGGACATCTCCAACCTGAATCTGTAGTTTTGACTGCAGAGGTGTACCTAATAATTATAAATAATCAGAATCAATTATGTATTGAATAATAAATTATAAACTTACCTTGGACTCTCTTTTGTAATTCGGCAACTAATCTTGTATCTATTTCACATGCAATCACTCTTTTTACTTGCTCCAATAGTTTAACTGTCATGTTACCAGTACCTGGACCAACTTCAAGAACTACATCAGTGGGTCTTAGACCAGATTTTTCTAACATTGATGTTATTACCATGGGATTTTTTAAAATATGTTGACCAAAATCTTTATTGAAGAGAATCCCTTGCTTGACAACTCCATTTTGTGACTTTTTCTTTTTTTCTACTCTAACTTTAGGCATTTTAATTTGGTTTGTTTATTTTCTTTTAAGCTATTATAAGCACGTGGTTATTCGGTGACAATTTGAACTTGAAGTTGAAATATGATGTGACAGTCACTGACAGTGACATGATTAGCGTACTTCTTCTTTTTATTGGCTTGCATACAAGTGAATTTTCAGTGCGGTTGAGTACACTGTAGTGCATGCATCGAGCAAAAAGACAAAAGAGGGAATCTAATCTTTATCAAAAGGAGACCAAAAAAGTGGCCTCTGATGGCGGACTTATCCGGAAATGCGAAAGCGCCAAATTTAAATTTTCCGACACTTATTAACAGTAGCTATATAATATTTTTCAGAATGTGTCTTAGACGAGAAAGTTTTAATTAATTATTAACGGTAATATTTTAAAATGCGACACAATTGTTAAAAAACTTCAATATAAATAAGATTTCATGTGACATGTGGAACAAACAATAACCAGAATACCCACTATCCACGGAAAATTAAGTACACGCATCTCCTCCGCGCAGACGTTCCGCCATGTTTTAGGAGGATTTTAAAGAAATTAGTGTTGTTTATGTGGTGTGCATGGAAAAATTAACCAGGTTTATTTGACTTACGGCAATCATAGACATATTATACAATTATATTAACATTGTTAAATATAATAACATAAATAAAATATAATTAAACATAAATATAAACAATGACGTATAATATATAGACTACGCAGTCCCCTATTCTCGCTATAGAATCAAGTGTCCGAA